TCAGTAACCACACACATTTTACTGTGGTTTTGTACTGGGATCTGTAATTCATTCTGTATCCATCCCATAGGAAGTTTAATGCCAGCAAATTTCCTGTTCTCATAGAACTTTATAGCCCAGAGAGGAGAAAAGAAGAAAGGCAGTAAAAAAAGTAAATAAACAAATGGAACAATTAATTACAAGTGATAGTAAGTTTCTAAAAGGCAATAAACTAGGGTTATGTGAATCAGTGAACCAGGAGCTATTTCAAAAGGTACCATGAAGAAAGGCTCTCTCAGCAGTGACATCTGAGATGACACTTGAATAATGCGAAGGCATCAGGCCTGGGAAGAGCTAAGGACAAAGTGTTCTATGCAGAGAGAAGAGCAAGTGCAAAGGCCCTGAGGTAGGACTGAGTTCTGAATGTTTGAGAAGTAGAAAGACCAGTATGGATGGAGTATGATGAGTAGTGTGAGAGTGTAGGCAATGCCTTGGAGAAGCCAGTAACAGGAGCCAAGTCTTATAGGACCTGAGGAGTCATGCAAAAGGGCTAAGATGTTATTTCAAGTGTGGTAGGAAGCCAACAAAAGATTTCAAGAAAGCAATCTTTTCAAGGTTAACATCTGATTCATAATTAAAAATAATTTTAACCACAGTATTTGAAAGCAACCTTATTTTTAGATTTATTGAGATAGAATTTTCACACAATAAAAATTAACTTATTTAAAACTAGTCTAATGAATCTTATTAATACATAGTGTTGGGTAAACTCCACCACAATCAAGATATAGAGTGGTTGCATTACCCTAAATGTTTCTTTGAGTTCCTTTATAGTCCATCCCCTTCTACATCTCCAAGCCCTAGGCAATTTCTAATTTGCTTTTCAAATCTTTATCAGATATACATTTTGCAAATATGTTTCCACCCAGTCTATGCCTGGCCTTTTGATTTTCTTAAATGTGTCATTTCATAAGCAAATGTTTTCAGTTTTGATGAAGTTTCTTTAAGCAATTTTTTTCTTTTACAGTTTGTGCTTTTTATGACACTAATTTCATGAGGAAGGCTGGGTCAGTCAGTGGTGGGAAACCAAGATGGGAAAATCAAAGCCAAGAGAGGTTAAAATCAAGGCAGTGTGAGAGTGTAGGCAAGTGACTTTGGCTCAGGTTGCAGAAACTTTGGGTTGTAGAGCTGAAAATACTGCTGAAATTTTCGGGCTCAAAACCTACGTGATTCTCAATATCCTGGACCATCTTTCTGTTGTTCTGAGTGGTGCTGGGCTAATTTTCTCTTTCTTCCTCTCACCTCTCAGTCAAAAGATCAGCCAGATTATGGATTGTCTTCCCGGATCTCCTCATCCCCTACCCACAGCCTCTATGTCTTTGTGAGAAATTTTGTGTGCAGAATTGGGGAAGACTCTGAGCTCTTCATGTCTCTGTATGACCCCAACAAGCAAGCCGTCATAAGGTAGGTGTGGTCAGTGTTGCCTGACTTCTCTGCATGTGGAAGGCTGGAGTTGGCGGACCACAGAGCATCTTTTCTTTCCATCAGCACTTGTGCAGAAATTCCCACCCACAAGAGAAACTGAGCCTAACTGAGAACATGAAATAACTTTTTTTTTTAGGGCATAGAAGTCAGGTGGAAGTATTTCTTACCACCAATTTTTTTCCAGAGTTGGGTTATGGTTTTGTAAATAGTTCTGATTTCTGGAAGACAACCAGAAATAACAAGATTCAGAGAGGTAGCATTGGATAGAATAGAAAGAACTACTTTAAAATGGGAATTGAGAATGAATGGTGCAAACTCTCTATCCTCCTTAGCAGCAGTGGCCTAAGAAAGAGTATGAGCTCTGGGTTCACATCCTGACATCCCCACTTATTCTTTCTCAACCTTGGGCAGGTTATTACTTTTTCTTCACTCTGGGTTTTCCATATGCACAATGTGAATGCCAACCTCACAGGGTCATTTCTTTCAAGCTTTTAATGAGAAAAAAAATCACATGAAGCCCAGGGCTGGCAAACGCTACCCGGGCTCCAAAAGGGAGTGGCTGTGATTATTACTACTTTAATGAACTGTTCCTGAGAATGAAGGAAATGAGGGAAGTTCTAGATGCCTCAGCTCAAGGAGGGAAAAGCACCTTTGGGAATCTCCAGGGAAAGACTTTGGCCCTCACTTCTGTTCCCCTGGCCTCTGCTTTTGGCTCAGACCATACTTCCTCCCAGGTGACCACTGACTATGGCCCCCAGTAGGATTAGGGCCAACACATGGTCCTATATTGGAGGTCCTGGTTTATGCATTAGAATAGAGCTGGAGCATGATCTGCTTTTATGGAGAAAATGATGTCTTTCTAGCTTTGATGCCATGACAATGAAATGAGTGCAGGGCTGGTGAATGTGGGGCTTTAGAAAATGATGGCTCTCTTGGAGACACTTGTGAAACATAGAGGGAACTGTCCATCTCAGAAGGCTGAGCTGAGGCCTGTACATGATCTCATTCAATTTCATTACTCTGTGCCACTTGGGTGAGAACATGAGGCTCAAGGAAGCGATGTGACTTTCCCAAAGTCACATGTCTTTGTAAGTGGCAGAGTTGGGATTTCTACTCGGGTCCATCTGGCTCCAAAGGCAAGGGGGGGTCCCTAATTTAGCCTGTCACCAAGGCACTTTTCCCTAGGAGTAACATCAGATACCTGAATGGTTTTCACCAGGGTGTCATTTATGGTGGAAAGTTATTCTATATAGCAAACCAAATCCCTAATATTAGAGAGCCAGCCCCGTTCACCTGGCTAGGCCTCAGTGGACACTTCAAACACGTCTTCCTGCTCCCTGAGAACCTGCCTTGGAAGGGTCTGTGTGGCAGTCTCCTTGCTGCTCCTGTCCGTTGCTCCCAAGGCACCCGTGACAAAGATCCTGAAAGCACTAACAGGACCCTCCCTGCCTCTTAGAAAACATGAGGACTCGTCATGACTGAATTGGCAAGGGTGCCTGGCCTGCTGGCCCAAGGGATGGATGGCCTGAACCTGTTCTGGGGAGAGAGGCAATGGATCAGCGAGATGGCAGCCCTGTTCCCTGATGTGTCACAGCGATGATGTGCTTGCTGGGGCGTGCCTGAGAGATGCCTCTGAGCATGCAGAGACACAGGGCAGCCTTCAGGGGAGTGAGGGATGGTGAGGAGCAGGACAAAATGGGCAGAAGCAAAAAAGTAGAAAGCAAAGAAAGAAGAGAAGAGGCATGATACAGAAAAATGAGGGGGAACTTGGATGCCTTACTGGTGTCAGACTGCCTCCACCCTTTCCCCAAGAAACCAATCTCCGCTCTTGCCTGCCCTAATCAGGGTTGACAGATAATGAGCCGCAGGCTAGTTAAGGCATCCTCAGTGTGGCCCAGATGTGACTGGGGAGAATTTGGCTGAGACTGACCATCCAGTGTTGGGATGAGTCATGGTCAGATTCCAGTGGGTGTCTGAAGAAATCTGGTTTGGGAGATTTAAGGTAAATTTTTGTAGGAAAAAAAAAAGCAGCTCAGGCATTGGGCCACTACAAGGCTAATTTCTAAAAAGAGCTTGAGGAGGAGTTGGAATGGTCCTCATCCTTCCTCTGAGGAGGGTGCCACGTGGAGGAGGCCTCACCTGTCTTAGTGCCGGGTGGGCCTTCCCAATTTACCCTCAGGTCTTCCTGGGCAAGGATGGATGGGGCCCGCTCAGCCCTCTAAATTGTTTTCCTTATTTATGATTCTATTTCCCCTGGAAGAAAATTGTGAGGCCCTGCTGTTTCGACCTAGCAGGGTGGTTCTCGATGGGGCTTGCTACCTGTAATGAAAGGTTCTGGGTGATACCCACGTATTTCACCATGACGGGTCAGAAATAACCAATGGGAAATCGCTTAAAAATTGGGGAGGGGGAAATAAAGTCTTCCTGGTTAGTTTGCTGCAAATTTCACTAAAATTTTAAACTCTTACTGAAAAAAAATAATAAGGTGCATTTAACTTGATTGAGTTTTAACCATTGGTTAATCCAAAGCTGTGTTCATTTGTCAGCACTTCCATTTCCCCCTTGAACTTTGCTTGGATTACTCTCATTAATCTTCTAGGGGTGAGTGGGGAGAGAGAAGCCAGAAGTCAGATAGAACAAATCTCTAAAAAAGAAAGCAATTGCCCTTAACTTTGCTGAATTCTCATTATGTCTTCTTGGGGTGACTTGATTTCTGAGCTTTATTTTGCTTCTTACTAATTCAAGATAAGCATTTATTTAGCACCTACTGTATACTCCTGGATGGCACAGAAACCTACTGCCTCAACTGGGCAAACTATACTTGGCTTCTCCTCAGTTAAAGTGGTGCTAGACTCTCTCTTTTTAGCACAGCTGGACGGACCAGGATAAACTGCACAGGGTGGTGTGTGGCTTGAAGATGTGAAAGGATTAATGATCGTATGTCAGAACCATGTGACTGCCTCTCATAAAACCCTTAAATGGGATTTAGTTAGCCACGGGATCAAGCCAAAATTCTTGAATGGCCTTCAAGGCCTACATGGTCTGGCCTCTCTCTCGAATTTCTCTCTTTCCCTGGGATCTGTTTCTAGATGTATATGTTTCATTCTGCTTCAGGTTGCTTGTACTCATGTTTGCTTTGCCGGAAAAATTTCCCTTTCCCACTCTTTTCTTGACCAACTTTATTTGCATGTCTCATCAAAGACTTCCTTGACCTCTCAAACTAGGCCAGGCTCTCCTGATTCACATTCTCACAGCATCCTGAACAGTTCTCTTAGGGCACAATCGCATGTAAATAGCTGTTAGGACCCCATTTAAATAGTTACTTAAGCGTATCTCAGATAATGGCTAAGGCCCTCAGTGGTCCATCACAGTGCGATGTTCCATTCAAGGAAACAGTCCTACATCAAAGGGATAATTTAAAATAATTAAAATCTTTACTCAGTCTTAAAAGGGGAGTGGAATGGAAAGGGTGAATACATTCTTTTTTTGGGGCGGGGGAATACAATAAAAATGGACATTTTATTTATTGCAAAGCAGCTCAATTGTAATATTGTGATAAAGCACAGCAGTGAAAACAGCAGAATACATTCGTAATGTCCAGCAAATTGCACTAAAAGAACTTCCCCCTCATTTCTGCCCCTCAGTAACCCCACAGAAAGTGCAGCTGCTCTTCAAAGAATATTAGGCAGCTGGGCCAGAATTTGCTTAGCAGCTGTGGGAGGAAAAAAGGTCTTGAATACACACATCAGTACTTGTCTGCCCCTGCAAGTCCAACATCTATCTCCCTGATGGGACCATCGTCTTCTACAGGGAGAGACCATGTCTGTCTCCAACACTGCGGTGTCCCCAGCAGCCAGCCTGGTGTGGCGCGCAAAGCAGTGGCTTGGCGAATATTTTGAGGGAATCCGTGTTGAGCCCCTGGCAGTAATGGGTTGCCACTTCTCTTCCCACAGTGAGAACTACCTGGTGCGATGGGGCAGCAAGGGCTTCCCGAAGGAGGTCGAGATGCTCAACAACCTGAAGGTGGTCTTCACGGTGGGTGTGCACTGTTTCTCATTCCACGTTCCACACGCCCAGGGACACGATCTTGGGAATGAGGCTGAGCAGGTGGCCCGGAGGGAGCACGGCCTCGGTGCAGAGCCGTGTTCCATGCTTTCTGCAGAGCTTCAGAGGCGGGGAAGGGCACTGTGTGCCCCGTGGAAGCTGTGGGGAAGGTGGATCCTCCCCTTCTCCCTCTCTCGTCCTCCCTCCCGCTCTCTTTCTCACTCAGCTGTACAGAGAACACATGCAGAGTGCTAGGTACCATCTGGGTGAACTGGGTACAGCAGCTGTGCTGGCTTTCCGGTTCATTCATGGTTAACCTGATTTCCTTTCTTTGGTTCCAAACTAAAAACCTTTCTCAAATATATCAAGAAAAAGATAAAGACCTTCCTAGATCATTAACTGGCTTGGTAATCTGGATATTCTGAACATAATGAAGTCATGCATGACTGAAGATGTTACCGGCCATCCTTTTAAAAACCAGTGCTCATGGGGCAAGACATATGTAGAAATGCTGAAAGCAGTTGCCATTTGGACGACCTGTTTTTGAGAGGGAACAGGCTGTTTGGCTTTGGAAAGGAGAACCAGTGGGAAGAAGGAGATAAGGGCTATTTCCAGCAGAGTTCCCTCCCTTGTCCTGTTTCCATGAGGTTGTGTCAAGGGTGTGATCTTAAAACACCTAAGGATATCGGTGTTGTCTGAAAGCTCCTTTGAGGCAAAGAACATTTATGACGTTTTTCACTATGTTGCCTGTGTTAGCAAGGGAAGTTATAGAGGAGAAGCCAGGGAGGGATTTGGGCGCTGGCCATTCTGATGGGTTTGATCCAGGAATATCGAACACGCTGGATTAACCTACCTGGCTCTACAATAATTTTCCAGGTCCAACCCATTAAACGTGATGTCTTATGTGATGTCACTATGAGACAGGAGTGCAGCTGATTTATTTTGTTTGTTGTTTCCTAAAAAAATCAAATGGGCCAGAGGAATAAGATCATAGGTCCTAATTGCTTAGACAAAGTTATAAAAATGTGCCTCAGTCCTGTTTATCTATTATTAGTTCAAAGGAGGAGCCTATTTATTTTCTTGATAAATAGGAGAGTCCCGTGGGGCTTCCTGATTAAACCAGGAGACAGATGTTTCATGAGAGGGAGAGGGACAGGGAATCAATCAGTGGTTCATTTCTCAGAGAACCAACTCATGATGTAAACACTCGGAAAAGGGCATCGGTAGATTTGTGTCGCTCAGTATTAGGGCGAATGGGATCCTGCCTTTGTGGAATTCTGCCTGTACCACCAACTCTTCCTCCCACAGCAAATGAACTTGAGAACGTTGGTTGACTGGTTCAAAAGGCTGACACCTCCCTCTCTTGAGATGATGGGAGTCTTCATTTCGGGGCAAGCAAGGTCATGGTGCTCTAGCTTCTTTCTTTTTAAATCCTTACCCAAGGATATATTTTTCATTGATTTTTTTTTTTTTAGAGAGTGTGGAGGGGAGGGAGTAGGGGGAGAGAGAGAAAGAGAGAAACATCGATGTGAGAGAGACATATCCATTGGTTGCCTCTTGCAGGCACTTCTACTGGAGCTGGGTCTCAAGCCTGCAACCAAGGTACATGCCCTTGACCGGAAATCAAACCCGAGACCCTTGGGCCCTCAGGCTGATGCCCTAACTACCAGCCAGGGCTCTAGCTTCTCATTGATTCAAGGGCTATTTAGTGAGTATCTGCTGTGTGTAAGGACCGTGCTAGTTGCTGGGGACCCAGCCCTGAATAAGCTGATAGGCCCCTGCTCTTGTGATGTGATGGGAATAATTCAGAAAATAAGTAAGTAAACAAGCAAGCAAGCAAGCAAACCAACAAGAGAAATGCCAGAAGCAATCTATGCAATGGAGATAATTCAGACAGGGTGACGTGATGGTGTTTGACCGGGAGTTACTTTCAGTTGGGCATCTAGGTGATGTTTAAGTTAGAGATGAGATAAAACTTGGCAGGCATGTGTCTCGCTGGCCTTATTTATCGTGTCCTGGATGTTAGCTCTTTCTAGTTCCCTCTTTGGGGGCAGAGCTTGAGGAGCTGGCACGTGGGTTGGGCCGATGGTGGAATTCCCCTCTCTGCTTTACAAGCATTTGCCTCCACCCCCCCCGCCCCCACCCCCTACCCCCCTACCCCCCCCCGCCCTGCCCCCCCTCTATCCTCCCCCCCCGCCCCCGCCCTGCTGCCCCTTGGCCTCTTAGAAGGAGAAACTGAACCAATAAGACATGTAGGCATAGACCATGAGGTTCCCTAAGACCTTGCCCAGTTTTGGGGTCACTGCCAACACGTGGGAAACGAGACTGAACAATAATTATTAAATCAGGTGACATGGGTTTTTTTAATTGTTTTATTGCTTAAAGTGTTACAGAGTGTTACATATGTCTCCTTTTTTTTTTTGGTGACATGGGTTTTAAGTTTCATTGCCCTGTTTCAGCTTCCCCGACACATCTGAGTTTTTCAGGCCAAAGTAAAGGGGAGACACCACAGATTGTAACAGTTCTGAGTGAGGGTTGCCCGTTTGTTTACACGCCCTTAGAGAATAAGCTGTGCTCAGGCCTTTTGCTGTGATTGCGTCGCATATCAAGATTCTCTAGTGCCAAGGGTCTCTGATGAGACAGCTCTTAGAAATCTGGGGCCTTCCTTGGTTTGTTTGAGTGAAGGGAAGAGGGGGTGGAATGGAGGCTTATCTAATGCAGTGGTTCTCAACCTTCTGGCCCTTTAAATACAGTTCCTCATGTTGTGACCCAACCATAACATTATTTTCATTGCTACTTCATAACTGTAATGTTGCTACTGTTATGAATCATAATGTAAATATCTGATATGCAGGATGGTCTTAGGTGACCCCTGTGAAAGGTTCGTTCGACCACCAAAGGGGTCGCGACCCACAAGTTGAGAACCGCTGATGTAGTGCGTTAGTTGCCAGAGCTGCCATTACAAAGGACAGACAGGATGGCTTAAATAACAGAAACTTATTTTCTCAGCTCTGGAGGCTGGAAGTCCAAGATCAAGATGTGTGCAGGGTTAATTCCTTTGGAGGCCTTTCTCCTTGCTTGCAGATGGCCATCTACTCCCTGTGTCCTAATCTCCTCTTCTTAGAAGGACATATTGGATTAGGGCCCACCCTAATAACCTCAGATTAGCGTAATCACCTCTTTTTTATTTAAGTACTAATTTTTAAAATTAAATTTATTGGGGTGAATTAATCATCTGTTTCCAAACACAGTAATGTTCTGGGTATTGTGGGCTTAGGACTCTAACATATGAAATGGGGGAGGGGGTAATAATTTAGCCCTAACATCTAGAAGAAACCGTTCAGGTGCCGGGGCCTCTGTAGCTCTGAAAGATACCAATTCAAAGCTTTGAAAAATCACAGTGGAAGAAGAGAAGTAATTAGGAATGAAGGTCATTATAAATGAAGCAAGACTTGAGCCTTTGAGGATGGAAAGGCTTTGGCTCTATAGAGGAATAAGCCGTAAGCATTTGAGGCGGTGGTGCGGACGGGGGGCTTAGGAAGAAAGATCCAGGGTTGAAAGCAAGCATTGTGTGTTTGTGGAGCAATAAAGAAATCTTTGTGACAAAAATAGAGTACTTACCTGCAGAGAATAGTGGGGAATCGGTTGGATAGGCCGGCTGGAAACATATTATGTCTAGGACTTTTTCGTGTCAGCCGGGGAAGATTAGCACTAATAGGGTAGGACCTAGGGAGCTGTTAACAGTGTTGAAGGGAGAGAAATGAAATAATAAATGTGGCTTCTAAATCTGGGCTTGTAGGGGATTTCAGGGTGGACTGGAGAAAGGGGTCAGGCAGGCCAGGGAAGAGGCTGTCCAACCATCTGGACGTGAGATAATTGGGATCTCAACCTCAGTCGCCTATGGGGCAAGGCAGGGAATGCAAATGAGTGTAGGGTCACCCTCAGGCTGAAAGCCTCCTCCTTCCCTCTTTCCCTCCCTCCCTGCCCAGCCTGGAGGCTTTGGGGAATGAGAAAGCAGATGTCCATGCCTCCAGCTGGTGCAAGGACACGCCCTGTATAGGTCAGCTTTCTGCGGAGAAACTGAACCAATAGGACCTATGGGCAGATAGATGAATTTTAAGGATTTGGCTCACCCATTATGGGGGCTGACAAATTTGAAATGTGCAAGTCTGACCAGCCGGCTGGAAACTCAGGCAGGATCTACTTCTCTGAGACGCGTCTGCCCATCTACTCTCTGGGAAACCTCAGTTTTTGTTTTAAGGGCTCCACCTGATAGATGAGACCAAGTACGTTATGGGAAGTAATCTTTGTAACTAAAGTCAACGTGTGGTAGCAAAATACCGTCACAGTCA